ATTAACATTTTGCCAAACCCCATGCTTTTGTAACAGTTTAGAAATTAAAAATAGCACTAATACGGTGACAGCATGTATTTGAAGTGCAAAAGCAGTTTCTCTACTGTGATCTCACCTCTCACTTTAAGGAGAAATAAAAATGAACAATTATTTTTAACTTTCAGACCCACTTAGAAAAATTAGGGAGATCAATGCAATGCATAAGTTGACACTGGAATTTGTTCTTCTTTCTTCTAGAAGTGTCATGCTTTCATCTTACAAACACTTATCAATTGGTAATGAGGGAAAAAGGAGACTATACTTGTTCATGATGGAAACACAGGCAGGAATGTTGATAAACTTATTCTAACTACAGTTGCCATTGCAGTGGTAATGAGATTTAAGGAATATATATTTAATTGTGTAGCCAAAACAAAACATGTTTGCCAATTGAAAAGGTCAGCTATGCAAATGAGTGTATATTTTGTTCATGCAGTTCATGCAGTTTTTCTTTTTATGTTGCATATTTTCTTTTTAGATTGCACAAAAAATACAATAGTTGCTAAGCTTCCTTCACCAAATCATAATCATCGTGGGAAATCAGGCAGCACTGTTGAAGATTTGCTAATAGTAAATCATGTTCTTTTTTTCCAACTGTGGCTTCACAATGACTTGAATTATGCTGGGATCCTGTTCTATACAATTTGAAATCAAACATGAGAATATTGATTTCTTGCAACTAAGACATCTCATACCACAATATGATACGCATGGCTGCTATAGAGTAATAGCCGAAAAACATTTTTTTTAAGTTGAGAGCACTTAGTGTTCTTTTTCAAGGCAGATGTTTTCTAGATTTGCTATTGTCACTCATTAAGAAAGCAAGAAGGCTGTGAGTTATGATAATGTAAGGCATGATGTTAGATATTGTATACGCCATCTCATCCATAAAACACCACAAATTTTCTTAGCTAATTCTTTCCTTCACTTGCTTTATTTGGTTCAGTGTGACTGTTTTGCCATTAGTGTATAACTACTTATTATGTCTGTGTGATAAAACGTATCCAAACAGAGAAAATAAATGGAAACTTAGAAAGTTGATAAAGTGGAAGTGAGGGAAGTATTTCAGTTAATAGGACTCATATATATTCAAAAATTGTGTTGCTTTAAAGTAATTATGAAGGGAAATTATTGTATGTATTATATGAGACTGATTTAGTATGTATACTTGAATTTGGGGAGCAATGTGTATATTTTGAAGGGATTTAAAGCACTGTACAATTATTATTTCATGAACATTTCCATCTAAGAGAAGAAGAGGTCTTACTATATCTATAAATCACTGGAGTAAACACAGTTCAGATGGCTTGACAGGTACTGTGAAGCACTTCATGAGCCAAAACCCAATCTGGTTTTTTTTTCCTTCCTAGAAATTTAGTCTGATACACGGATTATCAGAAATATTATATGGACATATCAGTAGGCAAATGAATGCTATTTCTCATCCAATATATGCCTTCTTAAAGCTATATTCTTACCTAAATTAAGATTAAATTTTGAAGTAAGATAGATGAGATATGTAATACCTTGCTTAATCTATTATGGATCTAACTGGTGCTACCCTCAATTTTTAAAATAACAATTTATAATCCTTCTTTCTCTCCTTTCATCTAAACACTTGAGTTGAAACATCTTTAAAAGAACAGAAAGTGAGATTTCAATAGCTACAATTAGAATTTCTATCTCTTTTCTTTGAATTTGTGAACCATGGAGGTCATTAGTGTTGAGAAGGGTTTCAGTTTTCCCACAGCAGTGGAGCATGATATCTGTGCAGGGCTCCCAGCTGGCTGGCTGCTCAAGGCACAATTTGGAAACCCACATTCCAGATTGCCTCAATATTGCAACATGAGATGACTTAAAGAAGTAGAAACACAAATATCTTAAGAAACAAGAAAAGAGAATAAAAAGATGACTATTCTACAAAACTTTAAGTGGGAACATTTAAAAGGCACTAAGTTTTTCAAACAACTGAAAAATGATGACAAAACCCACATATTAATCATGATACTTTTCAACAATTGTATGCAAAACACTGAACAAAACATTAAGCCTTGCACTACAGAAAACTCATAATTTATTAACACCCCCTGAACATAACTTTCAACAGTAACACTTAGGAATTCATATGCCAAGTGTAAACCCACAGAGTTGGCTGTAGCAATAATGGTTTCCAGAGCCTAGTAATTCCAAGTATGAGTATTATGTATGTCTCTTCTTTTTTCCCATTATGCTAGAAACATAAAATTTATTTCCATCCCAAACAGCCAGCATGTACTGCCAATTTATTATTATTAGAATGACATAAAGGGAGGGGGGTGGGTTGTGCCTCAAGAGGAAGGGACTTTACAAATGTAGAACAACCTCTTTGAACAGACGTCAATGCCAAGAGAATTCTGAGGCTGACTAAGGATTCCAGATGTCAGTGATGAGATTTCAACACAGATGCATTGTTGAGCACTCAACTGGATCTTCTCACTCTTCAGTGGGAGCCCATGGATGAAATGTACTCAGCTCTGATGTGCCTAGTCTGTGGCAAAAGTAGTAGTGAACTGCAAATCCCCATGCTGAAAGAACACAGCAGTCTTGCAGAAAGATGCTGAATTTATTAACTTTTGATGAAACTATTTCTCTACAAAACAAATGACTCCATCCCCAGACAGATTCATACTATCTACAATAGTCTGAAAATTATTAACAGCAATAACGTTATCTCTGGAACCAAGAAGAGGCAGCTAGAGTTCATTGATAGCTTTTGACCACCCAAAATGCCTCCACACAGTGAGAATTAACAGATGGATACAAAAATCTCAGCACATTTAATAACATGCTACAATTGAGGGGGACTCTACTCTTGGTAGAAAGGGAACTTACATGCTGTATTCAAAAGGTGACTCTGTCTAAAGAGATCAAACTATAATTTACTGAGTGGCTGCTATATGCCAGGCACTATCCTAGGGCACTTCACACAAATTATTTCACTTGATTCTCAAAACCCTATGAGAGGGGTTTTATTGCCCCCTATTTTACAAATTGAGTCTAAGAAATCACAGCAAGGAGTAATGAAGCCCTTCTTAGACAGGTTTGTCTAACCCCAGAGTTCAAGCTCTTCCAACTGTACTATATCACCTATGGGTAGATTAAAGACGGCTGCAAATCTTGCTCGCTACTCCTCTGATTGAAAGGTGGAGTTGAACTGTCTAATTATTTTACCCCTTGAATCTGAATTGGCATTAGTAACTTGCTTGACTGATAGTATGAGGTGTATATGACATCCTGGAACTTCTGAATCTAGATAACAAGAAGTCTTACAGCTTAAATTTAAGACTTCTTTCAATAATCACTCATGAAGTCCTGATCCACCAAGAAAGAATATGTGAAGAAGCTCTGAGACTAAATGGGAGTGGCCCCGGTGGAACCCAGCCGTCCCCACCAAAAGGTCATGCATAAGCCATGTTAGACTGTCCAGACAAGGCCAGTAATCAGGTGAATGTCTCCATATGACCCCAGTTGGGGCCATGTGGAAAAGAAAAGCTATCCAGCTGGTTCCTGGTCAAAGTCATGACAGACAACATGATTATATATGACAAAATGACTGCTGCTGTAAGCCACAAAGTTACAGAGTAGTAACACAGCAATAAATAACTGCAAAATATCTTCCTACTGTGATATTTCCACACTATGGAACAGCCTACTAGGAGAAGCTTTGATTCTCTTCCTTGCTCTGGAAAGTAATGAAGTCATCACTCTAGTTTCTCTTCTTTTACTTGTTCCTCCTAACCGTTGATAAATGGATATAAATTTCTGCTTTATTATTCAGGTTAGAAGATATTTAGGTGAATAAAAAGCAGAAATAGAAAGAGAAGAAAAGGGAAATGTTACTCACAGGTAACATGCTTGAGAGTTTCTAAAGAGAAAGAGTCAAGGTTATTTTGAATTTGACTTATGGAAATATTATTTAAACTGCTTTAAACAAAAACAGGGGAGAGTATAGAATTTTAAGGCTGATGTAACTGAAAATTGCAATGGGATGCTGACTTTGGACAAGCCTGATTACGATGCTCAAAAACATCATAAGAAATAACGTTCTCTCCATATTTCAGCTTTGCTTTACTCTGGGCCTGCCTTATTCTCAACTCAGCTCCCTCCTCATTGTGGCAAGATGGCCAACTTCAGCTCTAAGTTTATATCACAGCATCTCAGCTATAAACTCTTCAGCAAAAGGAATTTTCAATTCCAAGAGGACCAGTAAAAGGGTGTCATTTTCTTGGTTTGGATCACGTGACCTTCCCTGAACCAGGTCCTGTGGTCAGAGAAATGAAGTGTTCTGAATGTCCAGGTCTTAGTCAGCAGACTTCCCATCAGCCTTGGGAGTGGGCCAGGCCCAATTTTGCCACGTGACTGAGAGTGGCTGCTCCCAGATGGAAGCCTAGTACTGTTCCCATCATAACAAGTGGAGGGTAAATGCTACAAAGAAGAAAACAAGCCTTCAAAGGGTAGGAAGAAAGAAATACATATTCCTTATTTATACAATATAAACTATGCTTATGACTTGATATTATCTTGATTATCTAAATCAGTGGTGTAATTTAATATTTACAGGAAATTACATTAAACAAAATTATAGTCTTCATCTCCTCTACATCCATTCTGCTCTCCCCTCCCCTGTTTGAGAGCACACTCCCCTGGGTCCCCAGAGGACCCAGTGTTCTTATGCTGCTTTCTGGGAGCCCAAGGCCCCCACCAAAGTCCTACCCACCTGGTGTGGGTTCTATTTTCTGAACCAATTCCTCTTTCTGAGAACTAGTCAATTTCTGAGCTAGCGACTAACTTGCTGTTGGCCCCTTCTTACTATAAAATGAGGGAAATATTTAAGTGACTTTTAAGGCACCTTATATAACCAATTTCTTTGGACTTTTCACTGAGACAAACCCTATAAAGCAAACCCTAATCTATTTACATACCTCATTCCAATGATTGCGTGGGAGGAGGACTCTTGCTCTTCTTCACACATTCGTACATAGAGGGGGAAGCTCCCAATCTCTTTCTCAATCCAGAAAGCCATGAAGTCATCACTCCAGTCTCTTTCTTCTACTTGTTCCTCCTCACAAGAAAGGGAGGTGCTAATCTGTTTGGTAAGAGCATGACTTCCATTAGAGCGTATTTCCCTACTTGATGGGATTACAGGGTACTGCTGACTGGTGGCACAAAATATAATTCTTTTTTATGGTCTTGTGCTCATGCAGTAAGATCTCTCTCCTACCTTGGTGCACACCTTTGCATTTCATGTCTCTGAGTACTAACCCACCTTGGGAGTGCTTGCTCAGCTCAGTGGGGAGGTATGTTGTTCTCTCTGTGTTCCAGTTCCTCCTGCCTTTCAGAAGCAGCCCTTGAACTTGCCAGAGGTGGACTGGAAGGCTGCACAGAACACTCGACTCACTTTGAAAATACAGAGGTTTTTCTCTGGGCTAGGAGGAAGGGGACCTACTTTTGGACTTAGATCTAATTCACATTCTGTAATCTACCTTTCTCAGATCCCTGAATTCTATTGACTACTTCTTTGCCTAAAAGGATGATACTTTCAGCCCCCATTTGACTAGTACTTCTCTCTGTAGGTTAGAACCTAGCAGGGAAGAGAGGTAAGTTTTCACTCTTGTCTACCTCTAATAGTCATTTCCAAATTACTTTCACATCCTTTCTTTTTACTTCATTCTCAAAACCACCTTGTGATAACTTCCAGGGCAGGAAATACCAATTCAATTAAATCCAAGGAAATAGAGATTCAGAAGTCAAGAGACTTGTCCATGATCTAGTTAGTGGCAGAACAGGACTAGATCAGAGGACACTGAGAATAGAATCTCAAAATAAGAGGCATACTAACATTCTACACCTTCAAAATATAACCAGAGAAATAATTCATCCAGCATTTATTTGCACTCCTCTGGCAAATAATTGTTGTGAAAACTTAAGACTTCTAATCTTTATGTAGTATAGAGAGTATAGACTGAAAAGAAAACTGCAGTTAACAAAGTATCATAATGTCAGATGCAAGATTTAATTTCTAAGCTGCTGTGACACTGTAAACTTAATAATCACAAAAATTTTCTGAGTGAATATTGTGGTGCTATATGCTCTGGTGAATATGTATAACTGTGTTGCTTCTGTTGTTTTTAAGGACCTTATTGTACAGGATATTGGATATCACTAGAGATAATGTAAGCCTTAAAGCCTGTCAAATTGAGATAGTCTGTGCACCTGCATCCAGCCGTCCACCCCTGCAGCAGTTCTGGGCAGCTGTCAGTGTTCCCACCCTCCCCCACAAAACCGGGAGTATCAAGCCACATATAGAATATTTCAGCTTATATACAAAGATGAAATAAGTAAACAGGCAAACCTTGGATATCAACCTTGGCAATCCAATACTAAACCAGGACATTCTGAACTCTACAAAGTAAATTGATAAAATAATTTTGAAAATTTTCTTTGCACATATTTGATATAGAGGTAAACTCTTTCAAAAGGAAAATTTCCCCACAATCTTAATATCTCAAAGTAGTGTTGGAACATGTCTCTGCGTGGTGAGTAAGGCCAGTGAAGAAGAGAAAGAAATAACTGATGGCCATTCTCCAGTTGCCCTATCTAAGACTAGGAAGTGGTGTGAGCTAAAAAAAACCATCTTCACCTAACGTTTCTTATTTTTAGGTAGTTTTTTCATTTCACTGTGTGTGAGAGAAAGAGAGAAAAAGAGAGTGAGAGTGTGAGAGAAGGAGAGAGAAAAACAATATTGATTTTTTTATGACATCTGGATCACTTTGTACTGTGTTTATGAATGAAGTAAGGGACAGTAAAAATAAAGCTAATCTATAGTTGATGGTTTGCAAGCAGGATATAGGAGGAATGGGAGAGTGCTGAAATTCTGGGAGAATGGCAGCAGAAATTTAATCATATGCCCAGTCCATACTAGGTGGTCACTATGTCCTTGCTTAAAGACTTAAATTAACTGGGTTCATCCCAGAATTCATTGACAGAATATACGCTAATTGACTACTTCTACTTGGTCGTAGTGGGAGGCTTGTGTTTGTATGTGAAAGTACTAAAAGGATAAGAATAAAAGAAACTAAATACATTGTATTTATTTTTATTGATCTAAAAATTGTTTTACAGAAGGATTAGAGGATATCAACCTGTCATCGTCATCATCATCATCATCATCATAGATACAAACAGTTAAACCCACCTCTCCCTCTAATTAGCTTTTCCTCTTGCATACGGAAGGAAAGCCTTTCAGACACAGCTGTTCTTAGGCCAGATTCTCTCAAGGGAATGATTCAGCCTCTGTCATGGAAAGACTAGCCAGAAACAAGCTATTGAGGAAGATGGAGAGACAAGAATATAAACGCACAGGAGGGTGGTTTACATAGGAGAATGTGGTAGACAAGCAATGTGAAGCTAATCTTGCTGAATCCCAGTGGTTCCTCTGCTCTGCCTGATTCCTGTGCCAATGAAAATTGGAAACTTCAGAAAAGACTAAATATGGAGCTTCTTAACATATGTGAAACTTCTTAACATTCTCCTTCCTACACATAGAGAATTGGTACTTAATTTATTGCTCTTTTAATTGGACCTCATGATATATAAAATATGCATTAAGATTTAGTGGAAGACAAGGTGGTGTCCACAAAAATGACAGACTTGCAAAAATAATCTTCCTCATGAAAGCAATGAGAAAACTCACAAAACTATCAGAATTGACATTTTCAGAATGCTTGAAATTAGCCAAAGTCCTGCAGCAATCTGAGTATTTTTTTTTTTTTTTTTTGGAGAAAAACAGCTGAATATCAGTAAGAACAGTAAGCTTTGCTGTGTTTTAACTTGTCCTATTCCCATTCCCTTTCTTCTCTTCCAGCTCCATAGTAGCCTTGAAAACAGACAGCTTACAATCACAGTGGAAGCCGTAAATTAAGCAGACCTTTCAGACATTGGAGGAGCACTCTACCCCACAGCAGTAGGATATACATTTTTCTCAAGTGTACACAGAACATTCCCGAGGATAGGCCCTATGCTAGGCCACAAAACAAGCCTCAATAAATTTAAAAGGACTGAAATAATACAAAATATTTCTCCAGTAAGAGAAATACATTTGGGGAATTCACAAATATATGGAAACTAAACAACACAATCATTTAAAAACCCATGGGTCAGTGAAGAAATTACAAAGAAAATACCTTAATGGAAGAAAATTAAAACATGGCAAAAAAAAAAAAAAAAAAAAACCCTAAGTAATACAAGTAATACATTTCTTATGGGGAAATCACAATTTCAACAATGAGATAGGAAACCTAAAAAGAAAATGAAGAGAAATTCTGGAGCTGAAAGGTATAGTGACTAAAGTAAAAAAAAAAAAAATCACTAGAGGGATTCAAAGACAGATTTGAGCAGGGAGGAAAAAAAATCAGTGAAGACAGGACAATGGAAATCAACTTCGTCTGAGGAACAAAAGAAAAAAGTTTAAACAGGGCACAGTGGTTCATGTCTGTAATCCCAGCACTTCAAAACAGGAAGATCCCTTGAGACCAGGAGTTTGAGATGAGTCTGAGCAGCTTAGTGATACCCTACCTCTATAGATAATTTTAAAAATTAGCTGAACATGGTGGCACATGCCTGTAGTCCTAGCTGCTAGGGAGGCTGAAGTGGGAGAACTGCTTGATCCCAGGAGTTTGAGGCTGTTGTAAGGTATAATCATGCCACAGCACTCCAGCCTAGGAGGCAGAGTGAAACTGTCTCTTAAAAAGAAAAAGAAAAAAGAATGATTAAAGAAAAGTGAGCAGAGCCTAAGGGATCTGTGGGACAACATCAAACAGAATATATGTATTCTGGGATTTCTATAAGGAGAATGGAGAATGGGGAAGAGAGAATATTCATAGAAATAATGGCTGAAAAGTTCCCATATGGGATAAAATACATGAATACAAACATCCAAAAAACTCAGCAAACTCCAAGTAAGATGAACTAAAAGAGACCCACACCAAGACACATAATAACACAACTTTTGAGAGGAAGACAAAGAGAGAATCCTGAAAGCAGCAAGGCAAAAGGATCTCATCATTTACAAAGGATCCTCAATAAAACCACCTAAATATTTCCCATGGGAAACTTTAAAGGCCAGAAGGCAGTGGGGCAATATATTCAAAGTGCTGAGAGATAAAAAATTGCCAACCAAGAATCCTATTTCAGCAAACTATCCTTCAAAATTAAATAAGAAATTAAGACATCCTCATATTAACAAAAGCTGAGGGAGTATTTTAGGTCATTTTCTGCTGCTTATTACAGAATATCTGAAACTGGGTAATTTATAAAGAAAAGGAATTTATTTCTTGTAGTTATGAAGGCTGAGATGTCTGGAGTCAAGGGGCCACATCTGGTGAGAGCCTTCTTGCTAATGGGAACTCTGAAGAATCCTGAAGCCTGGAACCACATAGTGATGGGGCTGAACCTTGCTCAGCTCTCCCTTCCTCTTCTTACAAAGCCACCAGTTCCATGCCCATGAGTACCCATTAATCCATTATCCCATTCATCTATTAATCCATGAATAGATTGATCTATTCATGAAAGCTGTGCTTTCAAGATCCAATTACCTCTTGAAGGCCCTTTCAATACTGCCACATTGTGGATTAAGTTTGTGACATATACAATTTGGAGGAAGCATTCAACAAATAATAAATGGCATTTACAACTCAACAACAACAGGACAAAAAATTCAATTTAAAAATGAAAAAAGACTTAGATAGATGTTTCTCCAAAGAAGATAGATAAATATACAACAAGTACATTGAAAGATGCTGAACATCATTAGTTGTTAGGGAAATGCAAAATCAAAACCACTGTAAGATATAACTTGCACACCCAGTGGGATGATTATAATCAAAACAAAGAACGATAACAAGTATTGGTAAGGATGCGGAGAAACTACATTGCTGCTGAGAATGTAAAATGGTATAGCCACTTTGGAAAACAGCCTGGTAGATTATCAAATAGTTAACCATAGAGTTACTATATGACCCAGCATTTCTACTATTAGGTATATACCCAAGACACTTGAAAACATATGTTCGCACAAAAACTTGTACA